CTGTCTCCTAAGTTGGCGGCAAGTGCGTTCAAGCTCTGGATCCAACGGCAGTAAACCTCCTGACTGGCTACGGGTCATGCACTACCTGCACACACTCAAGCAAGCAAACCCGTGAAGGCACAAGTGGGACCAACAAAAACTCAATGCAAAAATGAAAATGCTAAAGTAACAGAAATCACTTTTCTTCAACAACCTAGCCGTCCCCGGCAACGGCGCCAAAAACTTGACTCACTCCTACTGTCACCCTAGAAAATGGCCAAGTATAACCACTTCCTAAAGCGTAGTATAGCGGGTCGGGTTTTAATGTCAACCCGGGTCCTAGATGTGATGACTACTCAGTGAAGTCTTGTTATTTAGCGGTGAACTTTTAGTGAAACTCAAGCAAACAAAACACAAAGCAAGTAAACGGTTTGTTGTCAAGTCAAGAGAGGTCACCCGGATATGGTTCCCCCTAGACTGAAGTTAAGTCGGATTGCAATTTACCCAGTTCAGTTTTCATGAAAGTTATACTGCGGAAGGTTCTCAATTAGCCTGAAGTCTCGACTAAAGGTCTCCAGACCCTCTCAATCTGAGTCTCTAGCGGGCGACTAACCTCCACCGGAGTAAACAGATTGAGGCCCTAATGAACCAAACCTCCACTACCGAATTGACTTCGGTACAGAATAGCGAATTGGCTTCTCGACTAAAGTCACCAATTCGCCACCTTCGATTAAGGATACTCTATCAACCTAGGCAGATATTCTCATTCTAGGTTAAAGCAGAAACAACAGGAATTTGATCAGGATTCAAGTCATTCAATCATTCAAACCTCAGTCGAATATAATCAATTCACAAACTCTGTACTTGGGTTCATACAATCAGACCTAGCATACAAATCTAGGGTTCTCCATACCCAGATGAATGGGGAAACTACTCCATAGAGAAAGAAGCAAAAGCAGATTCAGACACGGAAATCATACTGTGAAGTTGGATTCCTGCTCCTGGACGTTTAATCGCACTTCTCCAAGCTCAAGACGGGCTCCAATGGTGTTAAAGATCGATCTATGGCGCTTAGGAAATCTAGTTCGACGCTTTCTCTCTCTAGGAATCGATTTCTCTCTCAAAAACTCGGAACCCTTTGAAAATTGGCCTTCTTCCTCTTTTATCAGCTGACCCCGCGATACCCGGTCGAAATACCCGGTCGGGTATTTTATGGTTCGACCGGGTATTTCGAAATGCACCGTTCCACTAAAGGGGAAAATCCCCGGTCTACCACCAAAATCCCCGACCGGGGATTTATCGCCATCGCCCGGGCCCCCTTCTGTTTCTCACGGGTGCCCGAAGGAGGAAATACCCGGTCGAGGCCAGAATATACCCGGTCGGGTATTACTTCCTTTGACCGGGTATTTTGGTCCAGCAGCATCCTTTGTCCAATCTTCGCTCCTTTCGATCCGGAACTCGTTCCTTCGCCTCGATTCCAACGCCAGGACCTGAAATGTAACATAAACACACAACCTAGCGTAAATCGGCTTAAAATACGAGATTCCTCATCACAAACGACTTTAGAATAGGGGTGAAAACATATATAATTATCGGTCTATCAAGTTCGTGAATGATTGTCTAGTAGAATATGAGTCAGTTCGTGAATGATTGTCTAGTAGGATATCCCGAGACAAATTTAGCCGGCAAATCAGAAGAGTCACCCACACAAGAATAGTAGATCTATGCTCAATAGTAGGGATGGCAATGGGTAAGGTCGGGTTCGGGTTCACCCTATACCAACTCTTAATTCGCCGGGTAGAGCGTCCTAAAATACGGGATCAAATAACCACCGGATATAGAAATGATATAACCATACCCTACCCACCGGATAACCACGGGTATTCGGGTAACCACGGGTACGAATCCTAAAATATGAACTTATACACATATATGCACATACATATTGTTGTCCATTAAAAATTGTATACTTGTAACTGTTCTAGCTACAACAATCCACATAAATAAAACCGAAAACATACATAATAGTTGTTCTTGCTGCTACAATCCACACAAACAAAAACACAACACATCCTATTTGTTCTAACTTCAATAATCAGGGGAAACAACCACACAGCCACTGTGAGCACAACTGGCCAAATCGTACAATAAATAACAAAATTGGGCAATGGGATTATTAGAACTTACCAAAAGGGAGGGAGAGGCATGTCGCCCGTGCGAGAGCTTGCCGACGAGTCGCAAACGAGAGAGAAGAGCAGATCCCACGATTGACAGAGACACCGACTTGTCGCGAACGAGAGGGGAGCAGGGAAGAGCAGGTCGCACGACTGACGGAGATGCTGGCGAGTCACGATAGATTTTCTGTTGCCTCTTAGGATTAGGGAGAAATCTACTATTTAGTTAGCGGGGCGGGTATAACAGGGTGGATATTAGCAATTAACATACCTTGTACCGTACCCGCATTTTTACAACCGAGTATTACCCTTACCCATACCCCGCCCTTAACCCGTCAAAGTGGGTAATTACCCACATTGACCAGTTACGATCGGATAGTATACCGATAATTTCGGGTTGGATTGCCATCCTACTCAATAGCCCTAATCCCCGATTTCCATTTCCTTAAGAAGCACATATCATTATGAAAATGTCAAGGGTAATTATCATAAATGGTAACAAATCTTTGCACTTTGTACAAAACGGTGACAAACCTTTATTTTTTGCACGATTCGATAATAAACGTTTAAACGTATAACAAAATGGTCATTCCGTCCTTCTCCATCCAAAATTCTGTTAGTTTGATCCGTCAGCATTCCATGTCATCAAAATTAATAATAAATAATTAAACTTAACCATACCCGGACGCAACCCATCTACCTCTCTCAAAACCCAACCGTCTAACCTATCTTCTGTCTGGAAGAAAACCCCAGGGTCCAGGATCTCTCTCTACTTCTTTTCCTTCCTCCGACGATCACTCCCAACCTCACTTTTCCTCCTCCATGCCAGCATTTCCCCAGTAAGACGACGAGCGCGCCTAATTACTATGGCGAGAATGGCGCCTCTTCTGCTGCCATTTGATGACAGTTGTGCATTGCTTGGGGAGAATAGAGGGCAACCCATTCAGTAAACCCTTCTTCTTCTACCGCTCGTGCTCCCAGCCGATAGAATCCAACACCAGCGCCTCTCTCATTCCAATCGCCTCTTCTCCTTCCTTTCATTTTCCGGTCGTTGCGAGTTGAGACCTCTCCATCCCTCAGTCCAGCCGACTCCTCAAAACACTCATCACGGCGGTGGTGCCCTTGTCGCATCTTCTCTCAGCCTAGGCTTCATCGACAGAAGAACAAAAGCTGGAGTCGCGCGATATTATTCTCGTCGAAGTTGTGGTCCTCCGCCTCTCGGTCTCCCGTTCAGTCAACGGAGTGTCGGGGATTGAGAGCCCAAAATTGTCGCCTCCACCTCTGTTCATTCCTTCTCTTCTTATATTCTGGCCTCGCGTTGCATCGAAGGAGAAGCGGAAATCGGACCCCAAGACTTTTCTGATAACAATCGGGGCCGGCGGTGGAGGAATGGCGAGCTTGGTCATTGCGACGAAATGGAAAGGATTTTGAGGTTGAATTCTTATAGACAGCGGCAGAGAAGAATGGGGAATTGGGATCCGGGCATTGATGGTGGAAATTCAATTTTTCATTTCTTGTTCGGTTTGGTTAAGTTTTATTATTTTATTATTAATTTGGATGATGTGGAGTGCTGACTAGATCAAATTAACAGAATTTTGGACGGAGATAGATGGAATGACCATTTTGTTATATAGTTAAACGTTTATTACTGAATCGTGCAAAAATAAAGGTTTGTGACCGTTTTGTACAAAGCGCAAAGGTTTGTGACCATTTATGATAATTAGCCAAAATGTCAAGGTCCACTCACGAAACCCAATTCGCCAAAGCCTCCGACGGAAACTTGAAGAAAACGAGATTCTCAACTAGCCAGAAAACCCTAATTCCGCCATTCTTGTCCCAAAGTCTATTGGCCCATACCAATTATAATTGTTTTCTCAATACATCTCTGATAAATAAATAAAAAGCACAACTCACTTGGCTATAATAAATTCACATTTAAGGAATTGTAATGGATCAATTTGACACAATTGTTTCGTTTTGAGACAATTGTACCAAATTGCCTCGTTTCCCAGCAAATATTTTGGATGGATCAATCTGCCTGAGGTATTTTTGAATTGATCCGTTTTGAGTCAATTTCAATTATCTAGGGCGGGAGCAGGTAATTCGAATTGACTCATTTTAATTGTCTCGTTTATAAAACTTATACATTTATGTGATGGTACAACTTCAATTTGTAAAGTTGTACCATAACATAATGGTACAAATTGTTTTGTTGTACAATCTAAACTTATACATTTCATGTTATGGTACAACTTTAAGTTGTACATTAAAGTACTGATACTATATAATATAGTAGAAATGCTCTAATAAATTGACATTGAGTAATTAAGCTGATGTTTCATATCATTAAATATGGAAACCTTTTCCCTTACCCGCCGTATAACTATGACGGTGGGATCTCCTCATCATCATCGTTGTCATTGTTGATGGGCTTCTTGTTGTGAAAAATGTATCTCCCATTTAACTTTGTGTGTTTCTTTTCTTTTTTGAAGAGAAAGATATGAAAATGGAACGTCTGGCCATCCGAGTGAATGCAACACATGTCAATTGCAATTTCCCCAATTGGTAAGTGACGACGACAGGACAGGAGAGAGATTTTTTTTTTTCTTTTCGTAAGGGGAGAGGGATCCAGGGGCAACGATGTAACTTAACTTGTTAGGGTCCAGAGAAAGAGACTCGGGATTAATTGGCCATTCATACTGTCTGGTAGACCAACCAGTCAATACCCCCATGGATCCTTCCTTACAAACCCAAAACACCAACACCAACAACAAGGATCACGAAACAGAAGAAAAAAACTCTCCTCTCTCTCTCTCTCACTGCCGACACACCGCTAAACAAGTAGGAATGAGCAAGCCGCCGCCGTGCGGTATCCAACAAGAAGCACCGCAGCTGCAGTTGCAGGCCATGTTGCAAGCCGCCGTCCAGTAGTCGGTGCAATGGACTTACTGCATCTTCTGGCAATTTCTGCCCCACCAACGGTATCTGTATTCCCCTGCCGTTATGATATATATTATTCTCATTATCTCATATGATCAACCTTTTTACTATATTATTGTTTTGTGTTCAGGATATTGGTGTGGTGCGTACGGGTACTACAACGGCGCCATAAAGACTCGGAAGACGGTGCAGCCGGTGGAAGTGACGGCGGAGGAAGCTTCTCTGAACGGAGCCAGCAGCTCAAGGAGCTGTACGAGGTCGTTACTTTCGACGGGGGAGCAGGCAGCGGCGAAAGGCCATGCGCGGCGTGTCCCCTGAGGATTGACGGAGACGGAGTGGTTCTATCTCATGTGCGTCTCCTTCTCCTTCCCTCCCGGCTACGGGTAAGTTCATTATATTATTCCATTATACTTCCTTTCGATTTAATTGTTCTCAAAATATAAATTATACACTTCCGGATTATCTATTCGATTATTATTTTGGGCTTTTTTTTTTTTTTTGGAGCACTTGTGTGTGTTTCTCTTCGTTCTGCAAAATTGGCAGTAGAGTCGTGTCGTGCATGAGACAGGAAAAAAGAGAGTGAGACTTGGGGATGAAGAAGAAAGGAAAGGATATATATATATTTTCTTATAAGAAAAGAATGTATATTTTGGTGCAATAAATAATAATGATAAAAAAAACTCCCTCAGAATTATCAACTAACTATATAGTTACTTGGTTAGTGATAATAAATTGTGATCCCATAAAATAAAAAGCAGCATGCATGCATATTCTCATTTAATTTGTCAAAAGGAGATATCAAATCATGCACTTTTCAAAACTAAAGTACTAGCAGTTTGTTGAACTTATTACGACCACAGATAAATGAAATTAATTGGAAAAAGCAATAAAAGTTGATTTTAAATTAACTCACGGGGTCGTTTCAAGGAATTGGATATTGAATTCTAATAGATTCTAAGAGTTCAACTCCCAATCCCTAAAATGTTGTAATTCTCAAAATTGCTTAAAATGGAGTAAAACACGCTTCATTGTTTTGATAACTATGTGATTTTTTTTATTATATATAATGGAAAAATAATCCCAACAGATCAAGTTATAAATAGAACTTCTCGTTTTAGGAGAGAGTTAATATTATCCCAACTAGTTAATTAGATAATTGCAATATATAAACCAAGAACCTCATATGATAAAACTCATTAAAGACATATGATTTTTACTCGAATCTACGAACTACCCAAGTACCATTACCCAATTAAACAATTAGGGAATGACAATGGGCCGACCGGATTGATATTTTCGATACCCATACTTCTTTAGTGGCAGTTGGGGCAGATCAACCCATATGGTATGTAATTAAGTAAGAAAGATTAGAAAATGTGCAAAATGAGATTCCCATTATTTACAACGTATTATAGTTAAAATGTTATATAAAAAAAATAAATTTCTAAGTAATTTGAGTGAAATACATGTAATTTAGGCTAAGAATAGGTCGTAAATAGGATGAGCGGTCCAAAAGAATACTCATGCTCGTGCCGCGTCGCCTATGAGGCGAATATTATCCCTCCAAAACTAGTTAAATAGGTAGGATAAAGCGGGTCGGACTCGGATCTAAATTGACATTTCTGCCGTTAGTTTCAAGATGGGAAACTGAGTTGGCGTAGAGAGGTAAAGTTGCACTGGTGGTTGGTTTTGTTCTTAGATGATTCGCAAGTAGCTAGTAAGGTGTTTAATTTGGATTGGATTAACTTATCCTTTCTAGGCTATAAGAAAATATAGTATGGGCATGAAATTTGGTTTTTGACTAGGAAGCTACAGGAAATCAGTAACCAATAATGCAATTTTGCCAGCGATGAAATTGGCCGAGCTATAGCTAGCGTACTGCATGCAAAGTCTAAGCAAATGAAACCACAGAACTATACAGAAGGCTACCCACCATCCCATGTACTCATGATTGCTTTGTTTGGTCGGACTCGGGACCGAATTAAAGCCATGATAATTACTCGCTAGCAAGAAAGAAACTGGCTGCGAATAGAAAGATAGATATGTAACGTAAGGAAAGGCAAAAGTGAAGCGAATAGAAGGATAGATATGTAACGTAAGGAAAGGCAAAACTTCACTTTGCAGGACCAACTTCCCTCATTTGGCACCTTCTGCCAGGACCATTCTTACCACCACCACCACTACTTTTTCAGCTCTTTATCAAACTCTGTGTCTACTTGCCCATACTTTATTTTTTCTACTCTTACATTTGTTCAACGTAACAATATGGTTATGTTTTTGGTGGACTCACTTTTTGGTTGCATTCAATGCACCCGCCTCATAATCGTCATTATGAGCAGTCGATTCATATGAAAACGATGTCAATCATCACTTGTGGTATGATGAACAAGAACCACATGAATTTGTACAAAAATCATTCAAGATTCACTTTAATTTGAATGATTTTGGGTTAAGAATTTAGGGTTAGGGTTAGGGTTAGGGTTTACAATTTGAGATTTGGGTTGGGATTCAAAATTGAAGGTTAATAGGTTAGGGTAATGGATCTATTAGTTGTGATTCTGTGTTATATCATCATATTAGACTAATGTTATCCATTAAATTTCAAAATTTGATGTATTATGACCATTTTGAGAGTTCAATGCACCAAAAAAGTAAGTGCACCGAAGTAGCCTATATATATATATATATATATGGTGTTTAGCATCTTTCAATATCCATTCAATCATTCCTCACCCCTCAACGATATGAATAATAGAATAAGACACCACTGAATATTCACATTTTGTAAAATTTCTCCCACCATTTATATGGGGAAATTAGGCTAGATGGGGCGTTTGACCTTTGAGGTGGCGAGAGATAGCTAATTTGTGGCTGGCAGAAGGGACACAAACAAACTGTGGTGATGAGATAGAACTTGCAGAGGAGGGAAGCAATAATTAAATTGACTTGTCATCACGAGTCTCCCAGTTTCCCAAATGGGACGCATGCAGCATTAAATAAAAATGGTTTTGCCCTCACACAGCCATGCACATGGGATTCTGATTGATTTACCACTGTTCAGTAATTGCAGAGCAAGATGGATCATATATATGGCCATCCTATGCGACAGTGAGACGACGACTGAGATAGATATATAGGGAGAAGCAAGCAATAGTCGAATTTGCGTTTGAAAAGAAGTAGAGAAATTGAAAAACAAAAGTTTTCCTGCTCTTTTCCACCTTTGCATGGAGCTCGATCGATTTCTTTGCTCTTAATAATGAAGCAGTGCGAATGTGCGATCTGTATTCTTTGTGTTGAATTTGCATTTGAAAGGGTTGGTTGGTTGGTTGGTTTAGTGATACTGTGTAAGAAATGACCTTTATGAAGGTTACCAGGAAAGGCATATGCAAAGCGGCAGCACGTATGGCTGAGTGGCGCAAATGAGGTCGACAGCAAAATTTATTCCAGAGCCATCCTTGCTAAGGTACCTAACCTAGCTAGCTAGCTACTTAATTACTTGCGACACTGTTTGTTTCATTAAGATGCATTGTGAAATGACAGCACTAATTCAGGGCTTAATTAACCCTAAACCATATGTACATATTTTCAATAAAATATCCCAATGCCAAAACGCGGTACTGTGTTAACATTTAACTGGTACAAACGTCAATTGTGAATGGGAGCCGCTAGCTATGTAGAAGACGATTCTGAAAACATATATAGAGCCAAAAAGCAAGGTAGAATCAGAAATGAATCGTAGAATCCTGAACTTTTAGGGTTCATACAATTATTATATATAATAACTATGCTTTTCCATATTTTGTCATCTCAAAGAGTTTGATAATTATTCACTCATGTTTTATCTACCTCAAAAGTCAAATTATAGTTCATTATCTTTAGATGTGAAATACTTTCATTAATCATTTCTGAACATTCTCCTGTTCATTCCCACTTAATTAGTTAGGCTTGTCAGGCTATGTATCTTACAGAAACCACAATTACATATAAAATTGAATTGAAAAACTTAAAGTGTACAAAATCTTAACAAATTATGAAAGACATACCCTATACATTTTTCAGTAACAGGATTGTGTCTTATCCATACTCAATATATTAATTAAGTATTAATGTTCAATCATCAAAACAAGGTAATAGCATATAAAAGCTTCTACTATAGTTCTATCGAGATAGGAAAATCATAAATTTTTAGAAGTTGAGTTGAAATTTCGACTACATTGTTACATCCAATGAGAAAAGGTGTGGAAATTGTATTTTACTATAGTTGGCGTAGAAAAGGTAATAGCATATAAACACCAAATTCTCCTCCTTACGTGAAATTGGTGTTTTGCTGCATCAATACCAACTAATGAGTCATAAGTTGGTCTAAAATTAATTGTGAAATTTAACGATATCAATACAAAAAATTTGATCTGAAGCTCTAAAAAATTTATTTTGTTTTTCAGTTTTTTTCTTCAAGTTATCTTTAATTTGTCAAAAAGTTAATCAAAGTTCGTGTCATTTAAATTCATCAACCCAAACAAAAATTGAGTTGACTAATGACGATCCTTGGGTGGGTGCAAAAACATTTGTCTCACATATTAAAATTAAACATATTCGTAGAAAAAAAAATCCACATCCAGAGCTTGTCATTTCCACGACACAAACTGACAATTCCAAAACCAGATCACTGCCACATTTTCTTCTCCTCTCCTGATCGATATTTGTCTTCAAGTAGCACTAGTGACAAACTTAATTTAATTACTATGCAACAAAAGGGAACACAGGCAAAGTTATTAACTATTACCCTTCGTCGTTGTTAACGTGTCCAGCTTCTACTCCACATGCATATTACTTGGCCGGCATTTACGCACATATACTCCTACTCTATTTCACATTTGCATGCATCCTCCAAAATACTTTCACTTGTTAGGGAAAAACACGATTCTACTAAAGTTTTTTTTGTGACATTGAAGTGTAAAAGAGTTTTTAATTAAGTTTTAAAATGCGATTTTTACTATATTAAGTTTAACATGACAATTTCCATTAACTATTTCATTGTTATTTTTTCATTTTGGAAGATTTTATTAATGTAAATCGTTAAAGATGTTGAGGTGATAAGAACCACATATATGAAACAAATAGTCTATTTGGCTACATACAAATTACTCATAAGCTATAGATAACTAATCAACTCTTTTTTTGCTGTTTGGTCTCGTGGGCTTATCCAAACCTGTCGCCTTGGCTGGATCGGTATCCAACTCTACCAGAGTGCTCGTGTTCAGGTAAACTCTACCAGGGTACCTAATAACTCTCTTCTTTGTGGTCAACGTTAAAATATTTGACTTAATTAGCTAGGAAGCACATAAAAGTAATTTGGGCTGATTTTATTTAATTTTTTTTTTTTTTTGCAGACAGTTGTTTGCATTCCTCTCCTTGATGGTGTCCTAGAACTCGGCACTACTGCTAAGGTACGTACTAACCACTGTTAGATAGTGGAATGGCCGTTCAATAATTATTATTTATATAAAATGTCATCACCAGCTTCTAACGGTGCAGAATGTGAAATGGTCTAATAACCCTGAAATGTATTAGGATGGTTTGATGTTAATGGTTGTTAATATAATAACTCGATTGCATGCGCTAATTGAGGTCACAGACTCACAGTTGATATATCTTGAAAAAAATTCACTAATAGTTCACAAATTTATATATTTACGACATTGTACTTCTTTAACTACCTTCAATAATCCAAGGTGCACCATTGTTGCTTGTAAGTGGTAGATATTGTATTTGTAGACAATGATAGTGAATTAGCGCTTCGTAAATCATATATTTAATATTATTTTTATTATCATATATGTACTGTACTGTTTGCGTAAATAATTAAACTGATGGTAATAATAATATTACCAATGTAACATTGTGCAGTTACAGGAGGATGCTGGATTAATCGAGCACGTGAAAGGCTTCTTCACGGACCAGAATTACCAGCATAACCCTGCTCCAAAGCCAGCCCTCTCCGGCCACTCAACTTCCGATCCCGTCCCGTCTTCCGACCATCCCTCCTCCGCCTTCCGCTCCCCTCTCTTCCCATCCACCGTCTTCTCCCCCGCCGATGACCACACTCCTGCCCATGACGACGATGAAGAGCCTGACGACCTCGAAATCGACGAGGACGACGACGAAGAGCAACTAGAAGATGATTGCGAGAACTCCGACGCAGAAGCAGAGGCAGAGCCTCCTGCAGCTGGCTCCCAGCCGATCGAGCTGATGCAGCTGGACATGTCGGAGGATATCCGGCTCGGCTCACCCGACGACGGCGGCTCCAACCAGCTCGACTCCAACTTCAACTTGTTCGGCTCCCAGCGGTGGAGATCCCTAATGATGGAAGCCGACTGCTGCGGCGGCATCGACTTCCAGCCGCCGCAGCCGATGGATCAAGAGCTCTCCCAGGAGGACACGCACTACTCCCAGACCGTGTCCGCCGTCCTCCAGAACCACCACCGGCTCGGTCGGTCCGGAGGCTGGCCCACCACCACCACATCCTCCACCACCGCTTGCTCCCCGCCCCAGTCCGCTTTCGCCACGTGGACCAACTACGTGGCAGTAGCTGACCATCCACCAGAATTGGGAACGACGACGACGACGTCGCAGTGGGCCCTCAAGTACATGCTGTTCAACGTGCCTTACCTCCACGCCAAGCACCACCCCGAGGAAGAGAAGGACTCCCCGAAATCCGGCGCGGGCCGGGTGAGGGACGAGCTGAGCGCGAACCACGTGATGGCGGAGCGGCGGCGGCGGGAGAAGCTCAACGAGAGGTTCATCGTCCTCCGGTCGCGTCCCCTTCGTCACCAAGATGGACAAGGCGTCCATCTTAGGGGACACCATCGAGTACCTGAAGCAGCTAAGGAGCAAGATTCAGGAACTCGAGGCAAGGAACCGCCAGCTGGCGGAGCCACAGCGAATTACAAGATCGGAGATGAAGAAGAAGGGTAGGGGGGCGGCGGCGGCGGCGGCGGCGGCGAGCGTGGAGGTGTCGATCATAGAGAGGGACGCTCTGCTGGAGCTGCAGTGCGAGCACCGGGAAGGGCTGCTGCTCGACATGATGCAGAAGCTGAGGGAGATGAGGATCGAGGTCACGGCGGTTCAGTCTTCTCTCAGCAGCAACGGTGTTCTCGTTGCGGAGCTGAGAGCCAAGGTGAAGGAGAATGCCGTGAGGAAGAAGGTAAGCATTGTGGAGGTGAAGAGAGCCATTCATGAAATAATACCCTAGCTCCTCTGACAAGATGAACGAACAAGAACTTACTGATCAATAACGTACGTGGACTCTGAACCGCGCTG